CTCCTCCAGGGAGTGCAAATATTGTACTAGTTAATATTCAACATATGTATTTATTTTTAATGTCTGATTCTTATTCTCTCCTTGGTCTGGGAACTGTTTTAAAGAGAAGCCAATATGCAAATTTCTGAAAGCACCAAAAGATGGGGTCAGCTGATGCTTCAGAGAGCGCTTGGACTTCAGTCCTGGTCTTGGTCCAAGTGACTAGGTAGACACGAAGTTCACTCCTATGAGCCCAGTACTTCCTTAAGGCAGAGAAGAACAACTCTCACTTATGCATGAAGGCAATGTGTTTTCCTTTTCGATGAGGAATGGCCACTGAATATTTTATTCATCCCTTGTGTCTTTCCTGTTGAGAACCTTTCATTTGAGTTAATGGGAGATGAAAAGAAATGGCTACAGAGAATTCAGTTGATTTTAGATATCAGTTTAAGTGATTTAACTTGATTTTTTTCCCCACAATGTCTTGCATATCCCTTCTATATAAGGATTTGTAAACTCCTGAAATCGTGAATAGGTTAAAAAAAAAGAAAAGCATTAACTTTGAGAATTCTCAGCTTATTGTTTCCTTTTTTACAGGTACACCTGCTTATCTGGATGAAAAATTGGAGAAAATTATTTCCTTTGCAATCTTGGGATACCATAAAAATTCTCACTCAAAGGCAGCTTCAACTCAAACTTAAGGGGCTAGAATCTGCGATTTGTTGCCTAAAATCTTCCAGTGTTCTCCACTCCCTATTTCTCAAGTGAACTAGACGTTCTTAGAGGTCAAAGGAAAAAACCATATGTAGATAGTGGAAAAATATTAAACATTCAGAGAATTTGTGCCTTTTTAGGAGAATATATTTTGAGTACAAGGGTGAATTTTGAGTGAAGATCCCAGAGGACATGAACAGCTTATATGGCAGAAAAAGCTCAGGTGGGCAATGAAATGGAATTATTGTCGTACTTTGTCCAGTTCATCTATGGGTTAGTGGGATACAGCACATAGTGTAACATTTATGGACAAAGGCTCCATCTCCAGCACACGATTTCCTCACTCATCCTATTGATCAGTTGTGTAGATCTATGGAATATTTTACTTATTTTAAGAGAAAGCAAACAAAACTGAGTCAAACATTTAGATACCAATCCTATCATGACCATGGAAAGGAAGGACTTAATGATGCAAAACAGATGGGCATGGCATCAAACCTGCTTCACCTGTGTTTTGAGAAAGCTTATACAAGTCAGAGGATAAATATATTCACATAGACTTTTCTTTGCTTCCTAGAAACTAAAATGCCTTTCCATGGACTGTGGGTGACAAATTTACTTTCAAGTTTGGAAGGCAACCAGCTCCCTGGGCATCACAGATGCCTTTGGGTGCAGGATCTAGCCCAGCCCACCTGAGGCAGGGAGTGCCCTCTGCCGGTTGGACCGCTCTCAACTCTTCCTCAGTGACAATCTCTCACCTGTTCACATAAGGGATCCGGGTTTGGATCCAGGAGGCGAACAGGCCTCTGTGTGTCTCTAACCTTGCCCTGGCAGCATGGGTTTGTCTGAGAGGGTGGCCAGGTCTGCAGAAAACCCTGCACAAAGGCTGTCACAGTCACAATCTTCATTCCAAAGAAAAATGACAGCAGGAAAACAAACTCAAACGCCAACAGGACAGTCTCCAAGTCATGCATATCATACACTTGCTTCTAGTTTTAAGGAACTGAAACCAATAGCATCTGACAACAGAGACAAAAGTACAATGAAGCTGCCTGCCTAAGGCCTTCCTCATTCAGTTGACTACACTCAATATTGGAGACTCACAGAGGCCTGCCCCTTACCTGGAATTTATGGAGGTTATACATTCAACCCTGAAAAGCTTTCCTTATTGCTGAGTGGTGTTATGTGACTAGTGTGGGCTGCTATTTAGTTTTGTTTACAGGCCTCAGCCTGGTTTGTTAACATACATGAGGTAGACAGTGTTTTTAGAATGAGAAATCTTATACTTTCTGTCCAAAGTAGAAGAGGAGTATTTTAAAGACTTTTTTCCTGACAGAGAATCAATTTTTAAGAGAGTTTTACATTTTCTGTAGATCTTAGGATAGTTGACTATGAGATAAGACAAGAATTAATAGAGACCTTTAAAAGTTCTCTAGTAAGTTCACAAAAGAGACAAATTCTTTCTGAAATTCATCCATCTTAAAGAATATTTTGTAAAAGGAGTTTCTGAAAACTTGATTTGTCATAAAAGAAAACACCACAGAATTCTCACTTTAATTCTTTTCCCCACAATTTATGGTTCCATTCTCAGGACTGATTTATTTGTTTCTTAAGACTTCTGTAAGAAAGTACTAGAGATCGATGGGCTAAAACAACAGAAAGGTATTCTGTCAGGACTGAAGACCTGAGCAATGAAACCAGGTGTTGTCCAGGCTAGATCAGCTACCCTCTGAGGTGACAGCACTCCTCACCTTTTTCCCCTTTCCTGAGCCCCAGGGTCTCCTTAACCATTGGCACCATAAGTCCAGTCACTGCGTCTGTCTTCACATGGTCTCTTCTCTGGATCTCCGTCTTTGTGTCCTTTCTCCTCTCCTTAGAAGGCCACTTATATTAAAGGCCCACCATAGCACAGTGTGACCACATCATGATCACCAAAGTAAATCAATACTGGCTATTTTCTAAATAATGTCATGTTCAGAAGTCCTGGAGTCTAAAATGTCACTATAATTTTTAGGAGAACAGAATTCAACTAGTAATAGTACATAAAAGCAACTCTTACTTTTAATAGATGCTAAAGGATTCATATAAAACTAGCATTAATATTTCGAATAGCTTCTTCACTTTGTTTTTTATTTGTTTGGTTTTCATTCAGGTGCTTGTCTTTTGACTTGGTTCACTGCATCATTAATTAGAGGGCTGGAATTTTCAGAATAGCAGCCTGCCACCTGCTAGAAACCCCTGTTTGTCTTGGTAGCTTAAGAAAGCAGGAATAAAACCCAGGATAATTTTTTTTGAAAAGACAAGATCAGAGAAAGCAAAAACTTAAAGAAGTATAAATAAATAAAAGGGTGAGTTACACTTTGGTGAACTATGGAACATATAAAATTCTTTATCTACCTCTACACCATGACTTTTTTGGAGTGAATGACATTATTACCATAAAGTTCAGAGTTGAAAGGCAAACATCATGTTTGCTCAGCTATCTTTTCCATGTTTTTCAAATTTTTATTCTTGAGTATTTCCCAGAGAATATAAAGACCAAATATTATTATGGAATCTTGCAGGATATTGTATTTGTTCATTTGTCTTAATTAGTTTAGTTTGATTTTGGATTTAAATTGCCCAAAGTCTAAGAAAGCAAAGTCTGCTTTTATAATTTACAAGATTCTGTTTTCAGGACAAAAGGAATTTGACATTGTCATTATTTTTCAGGAACCGTTCAATCCATCATGCCCTGCATCAGGCTGACCCATGAGAATAGTCCTGTAGTTTCCCTATTTAATAAAAGCCGGTGTGATAGACTGATTCCCTGAGCACTGGTGGCCTGGGGCCCGATTCCATAGGAACCAGACTTAAATAAAAGCCCAGACAGGTGACAGTGATAGACACAGGCCACACTGAGACATTCAAATAAAGAATCCAGTCATTGCTCTTCTCACAAACACCATTGCCTTTTGAAATGTAGGCTCATGACTGTGGCTTCCAACATATAGGCAGTGAGAGCCTTAGTTTTTCACACAGAACTGACAAGAACCAGGAAATCCTGTGGAAACTGGTTCTACTTGATGAGAAAGAGTTAACAGAGGAAGAATTCTCTTGAAGCACCACTGGGAAAAAAGAAAACACAGTCATACATTTTTCATGTTGTCCCATCATCTCAAGTGAACTTTTTCCTCAAGGACTTCTTGGACTATATATATATATATACACATATACATATACACATATATATATATGTGGCTTCCTGGTCGGGAAGATTCCCTGAAAAAAGAAATGACATCCCACTCCAGTATTTTTGCACGTGAAATCCCATGGACAGAGGAGCCTGGTGGGTGGCCTGCAGTCCTCGGTGTCTCAAAGAGTCTGATACATCTCAGCAACTAAAGAAAAACAGCAACACATATACATATAGATATATCAAGAGACAGACAGAAAGACAGAGAAAGACAGAAACAGAGACAAAGACAGACTCAGATAGAATTATGGTAGCATATGCACTGCTACTGCTGCTTCTAAGCCACTGCAGTCATGTCCGACTCTGTGCGACCCCATAGACGGCTGCCCAACAGGCTCCCCTGTCCCTGGGATTCTCCAGGCAAGAATAATAGGTTGAAGCAACTGGGTTTTTGATATTTCATTTGATATTTCCTTTTACATAAAATTCTTACACATTTTTCCTTATCTTGAACTGAACTATCAACTTTCTCCACGAGCTATATGATTTTTCCCCAGTCAATTTCTTTTGACTTAAGTGTCTTTGAAATTTAATTCACTAGGTGCCAGGAAAAGACCAGTTCTAACAGCCGATTTCAACATTCTTAAACAGGTAACTTGAGACTTGCAGTTATTGGAAAGATTTTGAACCAGCTCACCTCCACACTGTGGTTTGGAAAAATTTCTAAAGGTCAGTACTAGCTGCTCTGTTATCTAGATCATCTGGGAAGAAAAGCAAGATGGTGGTCCCCTTCTGACTATTGACCCTGGACACACCTGTCTACATGTCAGGGTCTTCAGTGCTTTCTTAGAGCCCCAGGCCACATACACCGTGTCCTGACAGTCAATCTGCACTTTCTCAGTGAGATTCTTCTTCCCACTGTTTCAAGAAGTATAAACTTTAGCTAATGGTATTCACCTAAACACACAAGAGCTTTCTTTCAGTTTGCTTGAGTTTGACCCCTCCCACCCTCCTTCTGGCTCTGTCTACACTGCTGCCCCCACCATGAGATTTGCATGTTGTTCCCCAGGGAGGATCTTCCCCTGCAAGTCTGAGATAAAAGCTCAGCTCTGATCCTGCTCTGACTTATCAGGACTCCTCAGTTCAAACTTCTGAACATGAGGTTCCCTGCTCAGCTCCTGGGGCTCCTCCTGCTCTGGGTCCCAGGTAAGAACAGAGTGGGGATGAGAGGAGGATGGGGGCCTGTACTCTGCTCAGGACTGTGACAGAGGAAGTGGGGATGATGTAGGGGATGTTTAGCAGCTTCTTTACACTTCACGGATGTCAGGGTCATTATCGTGATTGTACATTTTAGTTGCATGGATGAAAAGTATTGATAATGAGAGTAAAACAAAGTAGTGTTTTAGCTAACATAAATAAGAAATTGGAAATGATAATAGAGCTCATAATATTTGTATGTGACTTGAAAATTTTCTGTCATTTCTTTTAGGATCCAGTGGGGATGTTGTGCTGACCCAGACTCCGCTCTCCCTGTCTTTCACCCCTGGAGAGACGGTCTCCATCTCCTGCAAGTCTACTCAGAGTCTGAAATATAGTGATGGAAAAACCTATTTGTATTGGTTTCAACACAAACCAGGCCAATCACCACAGCTACTGATCTATCAGGTTTCCAACCGTTGCACTGGGGTCCCAGACAGGTTCACTGGCAGTGGGTCAGAGACAGATTTTACACTTACAATCAGCAGTGTGCAGGCTGAGGATGCTGGAGTCTATTACTGTTTTCAAGATTCATATGTTCCTCCCACAGTGATACAGCACTGAACACAAACGTCCCTGCTTGGGTGGCTCAGCTGCTCAAAGTGCAGCTTCTCTGGGGAACTGACAGCGGATGTTCTGAGTCTGTGTAACAGGTGGCGATCTCAGGGGAAGAGTTTGCAGTGAGGGCTCTGGATCATGAGTGTCTTAGCTCTTCTTCAGGCACCACATGTTGAGGTCCCATGAGCTGCACAGCCTGGTCCTAGCAGAAGCAGCAGGCACGGGAGGGGTCCTGTGTCCTATAGCAGCCAGTTCTGTGAAAGGGGGCTGAGTGAAAGCTCAGGTATTTCTTCTCACCCACGTTACCGTTGTCTCATTGGGGTGATATGGAGGGAAGCTCAGGGAAAGAAACATAACAATGGTATTTACTCCCATCTGAGACAAAAAGGATGCAGCAATGCATTGTTGTTCAGAATTTGACTTGTATTTAACAGTTGTATATATTTGGAGATTTATTTAACCTTTTTTCCCTTGGTTTGCATGCATGATAAGTCACTTCAGTTGTGTCTGATTCTTAGTGACACCATCGACTGTACACTGCCATGCTCCTCTGTACATGGGACTTGCCAGGCAAGAATACTGGAGTAAGTTGCCATTTCCTTCTCCAGGGGATCTACTCAACCCTGGGATCAAACCCGAATCTCTTCTATCTCCCCATTGGCAGGAGGGTTCTTTAACGCTAACGTCATCAGTAAAGCCCTTTTCCCTTGGTTTATTGATTGGTAATGAAAGAAAATAAAAGATTTTATTTTCTTTAGCAATAAAAATGCTAAGACTTGTTATAAGAATTAAACACATGAATACATACGAAATAGTTATCATATGACCGGTAAAGTTTGTAAGTGAAAATGAAAAGTGAGCAGCAGTGTGAGTCGCTCAGTCGTGGCTTTGCAATCCCACAGACTGTAGCCTGCCCGGGTCCTCTGTCCATGGAATTCTCCAGGTTTTCACTCATTAAATACTTGTTTCCATTGTCAGTTTGCTTCATCTTGTACTTAGAGAGATACGGTTTTGCACAGTGTCTTTATTTCAAATTATTCTTTAGATTCTCTTTATCTTTGGTAACTCCAACTTTGTTAAGTGCTGGAGTATCATATTTTCTATAACCAACCAAGAAGTGTATAAGTTTCAGGAAAAAGGGATATATTTATTTGTTGTGTTTAGTTGCTCGGTTGTGTGCAACTCTGTGACACCATGGGCTACAGCCCACCAGGCTCTGTCCGTGGGATTTCCAAGGCAAGAATACTGGAGCAGTTTGCCATTCCCTGCTCGAGAGGATCTTCCTGACCTAGGGATTGAACCTGATATCTTTCATTGGCAATGGCAAGCGGAGTCTTTATGTACACATCAGAGGGGCTCCAGGTAACAAGGAGTCAGACCCCATTGTTAATATTGGATCAGTGATACCTCTCAGCCTGTTCTCCTGCATCCACTTTGCCCTATATCTGTCCAACCACAGAGACACTCAAAACTCACAAACCCAAGCCCACACTAGGTGACTTTACCAAGTCCCTCTGCAACCCAAACTTCCACCTCTTTCAACCCAGCCTGCTCCAGCTAGTGCCCACCTTACTCCACCTGGAATTTCCTTATGTAAGTGATAATCTTTCTCTCAAATTATGTAGGTATGGGGACTGTCTGGAGACTCAAGAAAATTCTTAGTAATTAATTTCTATCTCATGTACAGGGAGGGCAAAGAGAGGAGGTACTTGACAAGTTGAGAAGTAGTGAAGCCGAGGGAAGGGAGCCCTATTCCTCTTTAATGACACTTAAACACATTTGCTATCTCACTAAGGGATCCTCAAAGCTAAACATTTTTAAGGGAAAAAAAGAGATGCTGGAGGCCTCAAAGCCAAGCACAGCTTTCAGTAATATCCGTGGTCAGAGATAGAAATAAGGCTCCATGGGCACCAGAGAAGGTGGGATCCTGATTAGAACAAAGCCTTCAGGTAGAATGGGGGAAGGGCCACACCTGGGAGAGGAGATGAACCAGGAACAGCAAGGAATCACCAGGTTGAGGACCAGCCTCCAAGTCATGTCTCCCTGATTGGATGAAAGTGATCAACACCTAGCATTTTGCCAGATTCAAAAGTAAATCATTTCTGATTGACATAAATCATTCTAGGGTCTAAAATCATCTCTAACATTTTTAGGGTAAATATGCATGTTAATCTACATAAACATTAAGTGTATACATTATAGCCTCACTTTTATTAAAACACGGAGTTATACATTATCAAGAGGGAAGAATTGTTTCAGAGAAAGCAATGAACACATGTGGAATATAATGGACATCAAGATAGAGCCAGAGAATTCGATGCTATGAGGGAAATTACTCACTATATGCTTACCACATATGTGACAGGAGGTAGAATATTTTCATGAAACCAGAAATTTTTAAAAATAACCAAGAAGAATTAGGTACCTACATTAACAAGAGACTTGATTGAGCTTCTTCCAGTGCTTTGTTGTTTGGCATCTAGTCAGTAGACTAGGTTATAATTACATCATGCCCATGTCCTTAGGTTTATCTACATCCTAAGGACTGAGTGACTGAACTGACTGACTGACTGAAGGATATTTTAGTCATTGCTTAGGTTACAGGTACTTAAAACTAGAGAAAATTTATTCACAGAACTACATTCAGGTGAAAAAAAAACACCTGAATAAGCAACATCATTTTATTTTCCTTCACCACTATGGTTCCATGTTTGCATTCACACTAAGTGCCTTTCTTCCCCACTTTCCCGTGGGGCTGCTGTGCTGACGCCATCTCCTCCCTCTGGCCTGTGGCCATGGAGGGAGCGTCTCCATCTCCTGAAGGCCATCGCATCTCATCCAGAGTAGTGGACACACCTGCCCGCCATGCTTCCGGCACAAACCACATACTCTCCTCAACCACTGATCACAGGGGTTCCCCAGGCTCCTGGGGTCCCAGCCTGGCTCAGTGACTGTGGGTCTGGGACAGATTCACACTCACACTCACCAGGGTGGGGTCCCTGCACGTGACTTCTGTGCCCAGAACCCTCACTGGGACCACACGTGTCATGGCCCTAAACACACCCCTGCCCCGTGGGCTCAGCCCTTGTGCTCAGCTGAGCAGCTGCTTCCCCCAGGGAATCGGGGTCGGAGCAGCTGCTCCTCTCAGTGGAGCACAAGCTGGGGGAGGAGGGAATGGTGGGGAGCCCTGGAAGGAGGTGGGAACACCCTCAGGTCCAGAGCCCAGGAGGCCCTGTCATGAGCTCCCCAGGGTCTGGACCGCTGGCTGAGATGCTCACAGACGGCTCCATGCTGACTCTCGCTCAGCTCTCAGCATCACTAACTGTGAAGGACCGACCACCTGCTCTCCAGTCCCCTGGAGCACAGACCTTCCCCACACTGATGTACCTGCCAGACTCAGACACTTGCTCATAGACAAGGTTGGGGCCCCAGGGAGGGACTTTCTCAGTGGTTCTGAGAAAACTACCTTTCCCTCAGTCTCTCTGGCAGAAAATCCTAGTCTGGAAAATCTTAATCATCCTGATGTGTATTCTCTTAAAATCTGAATATTATCCTCATATTAGAGACAGAATACCATGAGGAAATTTGAACTTCATGTAGTCACAGCTTCTAAGTTTGTTCAACTGAATCTGTTCTAGAATTTCCTGGCTTTGAATCATACTCATGCCTTTTCTCTGTTCCCTGCATCTCAGTGCCTGCTTCTGTCCTAGACTACCAGGACCTCAGGTTTCCCTGAAAGTACACATCTTCTCCCCTAACTTTCAGAATGCCCGTGTTCTTGGTTGGAGTAGTCAGTGGTTTTCAAAGTGCAAGAGTCAGGCATCTGTAGGGTATGACGTATTTTATATTTTCATCCAGATAGTGATATATGGAAACCTTCATGGGTTGTATACTTAACATATTTGCCTGTTTTTCCTGTATGTTTTTAATATCACAATTAAAATGAAAAAGAACAAACACAGAGTCTTTAAACAAATATTTAAACAAGAAGAAAAATCAACACATAGAGAGGGAAACTCAGCATTCTTAAATCAAAGTGTAATATGATGCACAAATATGAGAGTTGGATCATAAAGAAAGCTGAGTGCCGAAGAATTCATGCTTTTGAACTGTGGTGCTGGAGAACACTCTTGAGAGTCCCTTGGACAGCAAGGAGATCAAGCCAGTCAATCCTAAAGGAAATCAATCCTGAATATTCATTGGAAGGATTGGTGCTGAAGTTTAAGCTCTAGAACCTTGGCCGCCTGATGCGAAGAGCCAGCTCATTGGAAAAGAACCTGATGCTGGGAAAGATTAAGGGCAGGAGGACAAGGAGTTGACAGATGGTTGGATGGCATCATTGCCTCAGTGGACATCATTTTTACTGTGTGACCACCAGGGAAGCCCAAGAATACTGGAGTGGGTAGCCTATCCCTTCTCCAGGGGGTTTTCCCAACCCAGGAATCAAAACTGGGTCTCCTGCATTGCAGGCAGATTCTTCCCTGGTAGAAACTGAGTACTTCAAATAGATCCCAGTTTCTAAATGCTCTAAAATATTTCCCAGCTAATACTGGACATGATAGTTATATATTCTGACAGCATATGATTGGCATAAACTAATTCCAAATCTCCCTGAACAATATAATCCTGTTGCTGGTTAAAGGAATAAAACTTACTACAGATGAGTTCCTTTCCAGCTTGAGGTTACATAGCAAATGCTATTAAAATTGTATTATTATCTAGAAAATTACTATCAATAAAATTGTATTTTATCTAGAAATAAGTGTTTTATATTCACGGGTTTGTAACACATATGGAGAAACACAAGTATTCAGGGTGTACACTTGTTCATCACATGTTCAAGGAGAGGACATGTTTCTATTCAAGAGTCTATTGATTCCTC